AATTAAAATAAGGTCGATAGGTTTAATTTATCGTGCGATTAATTGATTTATCGTTTATCACAACAGGCCTACTTCAGACTCAGGAATATTGCAGCTCGCTGTGTTAAATAATCCGTGTCCGTATCAGGAACGAAAATGAAAACATCCTCAAAGAATGATGCTCTGAACTCAACCAAAGGGAAACATTGCAGTAATCCTATCGCAGTATATCGAACGCTGGGGGATGTTTGTGGGTTTATAGTGGAGGATTTCAGCTGCTTTTCAAGATCTACAACTGATAACACCAATGTGAATTTATGTAATGAAATTGTGTTGCTTCCATTAAATGAGAAATACAATTAAAATCACACGTGAATAAGTTTGTTCAAGTGATAAGTCATTTTAAAAAAATGCCACTTCATCATCATCCAACTACTTCCTGTCATCTTCTTTGTCGTTTCCATCAGTGGTAACATCCAGTAGTTGATCATGTTTTATTATGTTTTATTATCATGTTTAAATCATTTAAATCAGAAAACAGTTTTTTTTTTTCTTTTCAAAATTTGTGCAATTACATGACCAATGGAGATGCAGCCAGTGTCACATGATCAACCTCTTCCACTGCCCCTTTAGTAACAAACGGCAACAAGAGGGAAATAAATATCGATTGTTAATATCGGCCCCGTTTTATTTACTGGACGGATACCGAAAGATTAAAAGACCAGTAATATTGACCGATGCCGATATATCCTTCATCCCTAATATATTTGGGCCTGTTTGTATAAATTAAAGAAAATCCTTACTTCAAATTTGTATCCCAGATTTTACTTTCTGGACGTCTAACTCTCAACAAATGTTTGAAACGGATCTTCAAAATCCTACGATGGGTGTACGAAAACTTTTCACCGGCAGCAGGTCACGACCCCCAACCCTAAGTCTGTTATGGTAGGAAGACATTAACTCATCAGCTATAAAATGTAAACCAGTCAGGAATTTCAACCACCAGTCGTCCTGATTTACTCGTCATCAGGCCGTCTGCACGGATCAGGATCAGCTTCCAGACTTTAGCACATTGTTCCCTGATGGTGACATCCTTCCTCCTTCCAATGCAAAATTTAATATATAGAAACTAATTCAAACTATCATAACCCAAAGCAAGTCATTTTTGATATGTCGGCTGACATATTTTAAACTAGATTGAGTCGCTGGAGGAGGGCAGACCTGTGACTGCTCCCGTTTTTTGTGGAAGGAGAGCAGAAATGCTGGGAAGCGTTTGTGTTTTGTAGAGCTGCTGCCTCCCGACTGTCACCCAGGACCAGCTCTAATCTGTCTAAAGCAAAGAAATTAATTACAGCGAGCTTTTATAAGCTTATTAAAATGTGCTCTCCTCCCCCACGTGTTCTCTTTGCTCTGCTCCTTTCTGCTCTCGTTTTCATCGTCCTCTCTGATCTGTCTTTCCTTCCTTTGACCATTTCTTTTTAGACGTCACCGCTCGTTTCTGTTCAAGTCTTCATTTGTTTTACACCTATGACGTTTGTGGTTTCCCTACCTCCTTCCCTGCGTGCTCTCGTTCTTTGTACTTCTTGCTCTTTTGAGGTTCATTCACACCATCACTGCTTAGTCCTCTCTAATCGAACTCTAGTTTGCTTGCCTCGAATGTCGGGTTAATTTGGGGAAGTGGGAACGCGCAATCAAAAAAGCGAATTCTGGTCCGCCTGAAATCCTCTGTTAAAGTGAACTCTGTTGCAATTTGAATTCATTTGTGGCCAGAGACTGCTCTGTAAGCAGGGAGCGGGCTATGATGCAAGGCATTCTGGGTAAATACAACCCACTAGCGAGTCTAACGCTAGCTAGAGAAATGTCTCCTAGTGTTTTGCCAAAGACAAAAGAGGAATCCTACAACCACTGAAATCTGATGCTATCCCAGTTTTGTTTAGATCAGGGGTGGGCAACTCCAGGCCTCGAGGGCCGGTCTCCTGCAACTTTTAGATGCGTCTCTACTTCAGCACACCTGAATCAAATAATGAGGTCGTTAGCAGGACTCTGGAGAACCTGACTGCACTTAGGAGGTGATTCAGCTGTTGGATCCAGGTGTGTTGGACCAAGGAGTCATCTAAGAGTTGCAGGACACCGGCCCTCGAGGACCAGGATTGCCCACCCCTGGTTTAGATGGTTGTGCTCAGGAAGGAAGTTGTGCTCAGTGTCGTCTTCTCAGGTTTTGTGTCATCATCGTTCTTGGTGTAGCGCCACCACAGGCGAGGAGGGTAACAGGTTTTTCAAAGGGTTTGGTTGATTTGACTCAGTGCAGTGTGAAAGCAAACCGCAGCAGCCGAAAATGTAACAAATGTTGCAATTTGGTCCCCAATGGAACGAGTCTGCCACACTATCAGGTTTGAAAAGACTCTTACATCCTTCCCTTTCTCCATCCTGTCTCCTCCAGGCCATTGATAAGTACTGCCGGGTCAGTGGAGGCTTCTCCGGAGTGAAGGACGTCTACTCGTCCAACCCGACCTACGATGACGTGCAGCAGAGCTTCTTCCTCGCCGAGACGCTCAAGTAAGTTTGATTTGAAGCAGTTTCCTCCTAAACACTTAGACGGTTTCCCCTGTAGAAGTCCAGTATAAGTTGGGTTTTGCCCAGAACCAAAGCAGTAGATGGTTTATGCCTGTGTGTTTGATGCAGAGGGAACCCCTGGTTTGGTTTTCTGTCCCATCAGTTGAACAGCAGCTCAGAGTCTGGGGAGTATTGCTCTGGTGGTTCACTGCTTCCCCCTGGTGGCTGCTCGGTGTAAATGATCCCCTTCAGGCTCTCTGCTGCTTTTCTAACCAGTTTCTCAGGCTTCCTTTCCAGTCTGGAATTAGAGCTCACTATTTTCCAGGTCTGGATAAATATGAAAGAAATAGATTATGGAACAGTGTTTGTATTTTCAGACTTTATTCACTTTATTCCATGATGTAAATGTTTTGTCCTTCATTTGTTCCTTTTCCCTTCCTTCTTTAATTCCTTGCTGCCTTGTCTTTATCCTTTATTTCTGTCCTTTTCTCCTTCCTTCCTTGTGTCTTTCTTCTTTTCACTCCTTAATTTCATCCTCCCTTACTTACTTTGTGTCCTTCCTTTAATCCTCCCTCCTTCCTTACATTAGTCCCTTTTGTCCTACTTTTATTCTTCCTCTCGTTCTTTTCTTGTGGCCTTCATCCCTTTCTTCATGCCTTTAACTTCTTTCTGTCCTCTCTATCTTTCTTTTTTTCTGCCTTGATTTATCGTGCCCTTCCTTTACACTTGATTTCCTTCATCCTCCCTTCCAACCTTTTACTCTGTCCTTCCATCCTTTGTTCCTTCTCTTTCCTTCCTTCTGTCCTTCCTTCATCTGTCCTTCTGTATTTTTTCTTCCTTCATTCCTTTGTTTTTCCTTCCTTCGCTCTGTCCTTTCTTCCTTCCTTCTGAGTCTCCTTATGTTCTCCCTCATTCCTTAGTCACTTCCTCCTTTCCTTCTTTCCTGTGGTGTTTCTTGTGTAAATAATAATGTTTTGTATTTAAAATGTCAAACTGAGCTAAAAGAACTGAGAACTTCTGTATCTGTAAATATCTGGCCGTTTTACCTGTAAAAACCTGGATCTCTCTCTAAACCAGAGTGTCAGCTCCAGCTGTGAATAAACAACCTAAAGTGACATTTCCCAGCTGCCGATCAGACCTCGGCTTTTGACTGGGATTGAAACGAACACCGACGAGGCTTCTGATGCCACCAGCGTGTGTGTGTGTGTGTGTGTGTGTGTGTGTGTGTGCCTGTGTGTGTGCCTGTGTGTGTGCGTGCATGCGTGTTTGGTGTGTGAGCTGTGAAATGTCAGCTGCCACGCCGGCCGCCCGCTCCCTGAGACGCTGACATTTCAATCCTTATGAGTTTGGAAGCCTTTGTGTCCTTTTGTGTTTGTTTTTCCTCCAGTGTTTGTCCCAGCTGAGAGAGTCCCATCAGAGCAGCAGCTGCGCTCTGATTGGCTGCTGCTCGCCTCTGATGGGCAGATAAGCAGCATTTAGGAAACCACATCGCTCTGTTTCCAGTCGTGTGGATTTGGCCTTTTCTCCTCTTCTGTTGCAGCAATTAAGGAATTAGTTTGCAAACTGTATGATGTGAAAATTATGTTTATAAAATCAAATGAAATGTTGACAAATTTAGGTTTTGGTAATAATAATATAATAAATCTGGGAACTGGGCAAATCAGTATTTGAAAATGAGTTTAAACACTGTTTCAGCTTCTCTGAATAAAATATTTTGTTGATTTGGATGTGATTAAGGCTAATGAATTTTGTTGAGAAAAAAAATTAATTCCATCTGAAGAAATCCAATCCCAGAGCATGATGTTGCCACCACCGTGTTTTTCTGTGGGTGTTGTGTCTCTAACAGTTTTCTACCTGGCATTTTAAAATAGGGGGTTGTACACTCTGTACCTTCTTCAAATCAAACGAAATTAATGCCACGTTTGTGCAGCAAAAATAATTTTTGTGATGCTACAATTTTTTAAAATTTGAATACATTTCTGGAGGTCGCAGAAGGTCAACCAGCCCCTCCCACATTTATGAAAGCAAACAAAATTTGTGCCAATCATTATGCTACGTTTGTTCTGCTAAAATTTTCATTTGTGTCGCTTTTTTTTTTTTTTCTTTTCTTTAGATACCAAAAGTTCAACCACCCCATAAAGTACCCAGTCAAACAAAATAGTTGTTTCATGAATGTGGGAGGGGCCGGTTGACATTCCATGACCTCCGAAAACTTTAATCAATGTCGTAAAAAGGATAGCGGCACCAACAAAAGTGACTGCAGCACAAACACAGCTGGTTTGGAGTCAAATTTGTTTGATTTTATAAATGTGGGAGAGGCCGGTTGACCTTCCATCACCTTTGGAAACATTTATTAACATCTCAAAACGGATGGCAGCACAAACGAAGCATTGTTTATACTAAATTTTTTCTGATTTGAAGAATGACGGAGGGTTTCAGCTTCTCTCAGGTGATTTAAACTTTTTAAAAATGTATTTTCCAGGCATTTCATTAAAATCCTTATTATATTTTGTTGGCAAAGTTAATGTTAAAATATTTTAAGCTCTTAGAACTTCAAATTTACATTTTAGTTTTGTTTCTGTTCAGTTCATCTTAATTTGATTTATCTCAATATTACAAAAAGGAACATGTTGCTTTTTGTTTTCTAAATAAAGGAGCCAAAAATGTCGTCTTCATAAACACCTTGTAACAACATTGTTTTATTCAAGGTTTGCTGTCATGTTGAATTATTCATTTCTCCCTCTGCTCCCTTTACCTACCCCTGCATTGCCCCGCCCCCTCCCTCCACCATGCCCCGCCCCCTCCCTCCACCATGCCCCGCCCTCAGGTACCTGTACCTGTTGTTCTCCAGTGACGACCTGATGCCGTTCGAGAGCTGGGTCTTTAACACCGAGGCCCACCCGCTGCCCGTCCTCCACCTGGGCAACATCACCCTGCCCGGCAGCGAGCCCGCTCAGCGGTAGACGCACATGCCCGCCTCCTCCTCTTCCTCTTCCTCCTCCACAGCACCAGGGGGCGCCACCTTTCTGCTCAACCCTGCCCACCAACCCCATCCAACACTGGACAAACTTCCATGGGAACTCTTCATCTGCGTCCGGACTGCAGACATGAGCCAGAGGAGACGGAGAGACCGCAGCCCAGAGGAACGGACTGATTCTCTGGATCTCCCTCTCTTCTTCTTCTTCTTCTCCTATTTCTGTGTCCTCCTCTCTGACTCTCACTATAGATCCGTGTGTTTGTTGCTTCAACCAGACGGACGGTGGGTGTGCTGCTCAGCCTTTTCTCGGCTCTGAATCAAAGAGCTCCAAATGAGAGGCTTTATTTTTGTTTTTTTAATTTGATTTGACCAAACGTCCTCCATACTGACTCGAGCCGAGGCCCTAGGAGTGCAAACTGAAGGATTACAGAAATGGACACTTGAAGGGTTTGTTTCCCCTCCACGCTAACAGACTAGTGGACATTTTACAGGGTCTGTTAACGAGATGTCGGGGTTTTTTTGTTTTTGCATTAATGGCGACAGGGTCGTATGAAAGCCCTCCACTTCTCCTCCCCTGTGACCCGAACCCGTTTCCTGTTTGATCATCAGATGGTCCAAGACCTCAAACTGTAATCAAATCACCTCTTTACAAGCAGGTGGGGACAACAGTAACCACCTAATATAAAGCTGTTTTTTTATTTTTTTTTTTTTTGGCATTATGGAACATTTTGAGAGAGTAATTAAAGAAGAACAGCAGCAGGCCTCCATGTACCAGTCTTACCAGTTTCTGTCCCATCCTAAAACCATTCTGCTGCTGCTGCTTCACCGGATGCTGCTCTTTTATCCGTTTTCTACAGGTTCCCCCATCATCTTCCCATCACTTTTCTTTTTTTTTTTTCCTTCCATCCTCTCTCAGATTTTCTCGTTTCCTCCGTTTTCAGCGACGCCTCGCTTTTTGGTATACGTGTTTGTGTCGGTGGCTCTGCTTTAAATCATTTGTTTGTGCACTTTGTTACGGGACAACTCTAAGGACAAAAGAGTAGAGTGGTGTAGCACTGAAAGAGGTGAATAAATGATTTCAATACTCCTCGGCGCAGAGCTTTCATCTACCACTTTCTGTGTCCGTCCACCGTCTCAGTCATGCTGTTGCTGGTTTCCATCTTTATGTGAAAACAATCTAAGTTTTTTGATTTGATTTGAACCTCAACCTCTTCAAATCCTCATGATGTCAAATTATTCAAACTTCAGTTGCTTGTAACAGATGCTAAGCTGCATAAAACATTTATGCAGCTTAGCATCAAAATATAGCTGATGTCTCCAGAAAAGTTAAAATATTTTAACTTTTCTGGAGACATCAACTATATTTTGTACTACGTCTTTAAGGCTATCGACGTGCCATTTAAAATGCTGAAAGCCCTATACTGTTTTTACAATTTCTCCCTTGCTTTTCGCTCATGATGTTCATAACTACTTCCATGTTCAAAATTAAGAAATATTTTGAAAAGTTGTTGCGTTCAGAACAACAAACTCTCAATGGTCACCCATTACAAAAGCAGTGATTGCTATACTGAGCTCATAAGGCGGAGATTTAGGAGCTGATTTATTTACCAAGGAAGGGAAAGAAAGGAGGAGTGTTCTTTGAGAGCAGTAGATTGGAGATCTAGTAGACTGGCACCCGACTCAGGGATTTCAAAGCACTTTGTGGTGAGCCCGGCCTGACAGAGTGATGAAAACTACAATAAGAAAATACTGAACTTCTGGCAGCATTCAAGAAGAGTTGGGCCCTTCCCACCCAGACATGATTTTAGTTGTATCCGCGATGACTTTTTGGATGTTTAGACTGTCCGTTTCTGGTCTCCCAAAACGCCGGATCTGTGTGGACGATAATTTTTGAAACCAGGTTCCAGAGTCCATTTCTGTGTTTCCGTCTGACCGTGCCAGCTACATTTATTTTGAGGCTATGATGGCGTTGCTCCATCTCTCTCTCCATCCAGCATGCGCCTCACTTCCACAAATGACAAACATGGCGTCATTCTTTGTTTTTCGCGTCGTGCTGCTGACGCACATTGTTTTTCTTAACCATTCACAAAAATTTGTTTCCGTTTGGATGGAGCCAAACTTTCTACCGTAGTTCAGACGAGCTTTGTTACCATGGTAAACACAGGGGTGTTGAAGGACTTTCCTCCAAACTACTACGTCACCAGAACACCAGTGTTTTACTTGTAAGGGTTAAACTGAACAGCAGTGAAGCTGTCAGCATTTTTTCATTGGTTCCTGTCAGTCTTGTAAACTTTGTCTACAGTTAGTTTTTTTTTCTTTTTGTTTTTTTTTTTTTTTTTTTTTTTCAACATGTCACCTAGTTCTGAAAGTCAGAATCAATTCAGATTTATGATCCATTGTTTGGCCCAGACACTACGGGGAGATTTAAGAATATTATATGAATAGATTTATTGATATAGCTTAATACTTTCAAAGTAAATCAGATGCTGTCTACATAAAAAGTGGTAAACGCCAGTAAACAACAAAATTTCTCGCCTGAGAACTTTATGCTCACAAACAACACTTGGCTTTCTACACTAGCTTTTCTTCTTTTTCATTTTTGGTCGGTATTGTCTCCCCATCCTCTCGGCTCTGGGCTGAAGCCAAGATACTAAGTGTGTTAAAATGGTTTGATAAAGGAAAGCAAGAGCGCTCACTCCATCTTTTTTCCTGCACTGCCTCATATTCACGTTAAGAAAAGCCTTTGTCAGTTTTTTGTTTACAATTACTTCTCTGCTCTAAAAAATTATTTTAAACAGTACTGATTATGATTTCAGTTTTACACTTTGAGAAGTTTTAGTTTTTTGTTTTTTTTTTAGCTGTGATATTTGCCCCTTTTCTATCTGTACCTCACACTGAGAGCTCAGTTCTTCCTCATGTCGTCCTTCCAGAGCGTTTTACCGCTGATGCAGCACTCAACTCTGAACCCGTTTCTCGTAAATCCCGTCCCGAGCGTTTTACCGTTCGACGTGGCCGGCGCTTGAACCCGCCTCGTTAAACGGACCCGAAACCGACAGAGGCGAAGAAACAAACACGCGTCGCATGGAATAAAAAGAAACCCGGACTCAAGCCAGATGGTGTAAAACGATGCGAGAGGGGGAATAAAACGGAACGATAACCGCCAAAAATGAACCGCGGTGAACCGACTACAGGGGGAAGCGGGCGCCAGGCAGGAATCTATAAATAAAACGGAAACGGGGGAACTCTCCTGTCAACATGTGTTGCATAATCAAATCATTTCACTTCTGTTCATTATTATTAAAATGTTTCCGTTTGATTAGAGCTCCAAAGAAAATATTTTTCCCATTTCAAGCTTTCCACACGCAGAAGACACGTTTAGCTGAACAATGCTAAATAATGTTTACTTCAGTAAGGCGCGTCCAGATCGACGTCATTCCTGCAGCGGCAAACTAAATGCAGTGATGAAGCAACGCTGGGATTTTTATTGTTTTCATTATTAGTGTTTCGCTCCTTGGTGACGTCGGAGCCGGTCACCCGGCTTCCCAGCTGCACCTGGTGGTGTTGGCACCGACATGAAACCTCAGGAGGTTCACGCGTGGTTTCCGTGGCCCCGCGTCACGCTGACTACAACTTCACACCAGTGTGACGTCAACGCCTGGCTCGGTCAGGTCCTGACCTTTGAACTGCTTTTAAATTCAGATTTGAAACCAGGCCAGCAGAGCAACACCGGTTTTCATCCTGTTTCAGCCACAATGTTCATGATGTCAGTCAGTGCCTTCCAAAAGTGTTGATGCCCCCTTGAATCTTTTTACATTTTCTCTTTTATGTGAACTTTAATGCTTTTTTTTTTTTTAAGTGTGTAAATTGTGAAGTAGAAGGAAAATGCTACTTGTTTAGTTTGGTGTTTTGAGTTGCTATCAGCTTTAGCCATTTAAACAACCTTCTGCTCTTAAGCTCAGTCAGATTCTGTGATAATATCCATAGAGATTATTTCGGATCATAAATGTCTGAAAAGTTTATATAAAATACATAAAGCGAAAACTTGTCAAAACGATAGGACTTCTAACAGACTTTTCACTTTATTTAAAACACTCCGTACATATTAATTTCTTGTTCCATATCAAATTAATATAAAACCAACACTAAACCTTAGTGACACTAAATAAAGCTATCAGAATTTTATATAAGGTAAATCTTATAGAACATACTAACAATCTATTCTGTCAAATATCTTCAAACTAATGGATTTGATTTATTTAAAAATGCGACTAATTGTGTTTAAAGCTAGAAAGAGATTATTGCCAACTAATTTCCAAAAAGTTATTTGTCTTAAATGGAAATAACAGAAGGAAACTGTTTACAACAAAGGTGTGTTTCGGTTTATGGAGTAAAATTACAGAACTGTTTGGATGAGGAGATGAAAAATGGTTACCTATAAATCCATTCAAAACAATTTATAAGGAAGAATGATCAAGTCTTGTACACTTCTGATTTAATAAGGAGAACCATACATTGGTTTCAGCTGGTGTTGATTTATTGCATATGGCCCTGAAAATCATTATTGAGAAAGGGGCGGCTTTATCCTGCTCCCTTTTCAGGGTTTTCAGTTTTCTTGATTAGATGAGACTAAAAACACAAAATCTAACCAAATATTTTTACTCCAGTTTCAATTGCTAATATCTTAGTACAACTGAAATAAGACAAAACTGCCAGTACTTTTTAAAAATATCAGTATTGGATAATTACTGACTTAAAATGTCGGGTCGGACTAAATCCTGGAGCGGAGTGCTTCTATCTGAGGTTTTAGCTGCATAACGATGGAATCCGATATATTTCTTGGCCTGATATCTAATCGGACCAATTCCCGATGTCCGTATCGGATCAGGATAGCCCTAATACTCGACATAAATATCAGATGGACTGTTTACTGATACGGAGACCTTTAAAGCCACTGTTATTTAGCTGTGCTGAATACATACATATACATGGCACACTCCTTTTTTTTTTGTAAAACATGTCTAGAACCAAGCATAACATATCTTTCCCTTTACACTTACCAGTCACTAACTTTTTGAAGTTAGTGACTTCAAAAAGTTAGTGACTTTTTGAAGTCACTAACTTCAAAAAATGCTTTTTGAAGTTAGTGACAACGTGTGGAAAACGTTCAGAGGGTGTGATTACGTTTTTTTAAGGCACTGTGAGTATTTTCATCAAGCCGGACCCGCTCTGCTCTCTCTCTCCCTTTGAGTCGTCTTTCCTTCTGATCGGTTCAGGTAAACCTGGCCCAGATTTAAACTCTAAATCGCTGTTTCCTTTGCGGATAACTAGGAACAGATCTTGCTGAGAATATTTTTTTTTTCTTTTTCACCAAAATAGGTGGCAGCGCAGCCAGACGTGGTTACATTATGTACACAAGTTAGCAGCTGCATCGTAAAAGCTGAGGATTTCCTCTGAAGTTTTAATTGAAGCGTTGAAACCACCATATTAGGAGGTGGTTTCTTCTCTCCCCCACTCGTCTCTTCCTTCTCTTTTTCATGTGTGCTCATCGTTTAACACGTCGATAGAGTTGAATTCATTTCATTTTACCCATCAGTCACTTCATTGATGCAGTGCAGACTTTGCTCTCGCCTCCCTCTGAACGCCACATCATCACCACCGAGTCCATGCTGAGGAGGAAACCATCAGGTCGCTGCAGCGACGTTGATTTTGACACAACTGAGTGTTCTGTATTTGTATTTTTACTGAGCTACAAAGTAAGATTAAAGTATCTGTAAATATGTTTAAAAGTGAGACACATCCAATAAAGATGTTATGAAAAGTGATCCGTTTCCCATTCGTGTTTTATATTAAACTCGGCAGTAAATATTTAAACATTGCAGCTGGGTTTTTATAAAAAACAAATTTTATTAGATGAACTCTGGTGCCATATTCTTGACTGAGTATTTATCGTATTGTGTATCATTTATCGTGATAAATTTCTCCTGATAGAAATTTTAGTTCATTGCCACAATAAATCCCAATTAATGATGTTTAAAACCACCCAAAAGTGTCCGTATTGTCAAGATTGTTAGGTTTGCTATTCTCTCCACTGTCTGTTCAATGGAGGCATCAATCAATACCAATAAATGTGAAAATGCAGAGCAGTTTGGGGAGACAAATCACACTTCTTTATGTGACTGATGCCCTGAAGAAGCGTGTTACAAATGGAAATGTTTTTCAAGAGCCGTATTTGTGTTGGTGGGGCTACAATTGCCATGACACGGAAATTTACATTTCAGCATTTCTTTGTGTTTTTTGTGATGCTTAAATTTCCACCATTTCATTTAAGTTTTGTTTTTAATGCAGTTCTCCTCTCTGTTAATTTATTTTCCCGAAAAGACTTCTGGGACTTCAAAAGAAAATCGACCGGGTAGCAACATTAGATCATATTTTAACCACAGAAAAATATTTCGTTTCAAGGAAAGCTCAGTTTGAGCTTCTTCAGCGTCTCCTGCTGAATCCAGGCAGCTAATTCCGCTTTAATTGACCTTTTTAAGTGAAACATCATCTGCAGTTGTTCCAGCTGCATTTGATGGTTGAGAGATGGCTGTTGAGCAGCTTTCAGATGGCGCTGACGTAGTCGCTGTGACGGCCGCTGATGAGAACGGAAGGACTGCTATTTAACTCCGAGCATCGCTGAGTCAGGCAGGCAGCTGGAATATCAGCAGCATTTCTCAAAGCATCTCCTGAGTAAAGCCTTTGGCTCGGTTGTAAAAGAACCGACGGCGGATCCGCGCCAAACCCACTTCCGGTTCGTGTGGCTCGACTGAGGCCGTCACGAACGAGATAAACTTGTTAAAATTGAACAACCTGGCACGTTGCTCCGTCTTTTATGGACAGTTTGAGCTCCAGTATCTGTGGAGTAGAGGAAATGTCATTGTTTGTTGCCGTTTTAGGCAATGTTAACTTCTGGATATAAAATAATAAATGTTAATGCAATACAAGCTGAATGTGAGCTTAAAACGCCGGAAGAATCGAGGTTTGGACCTTTCCTGTAGCGCCACCGTCTGGTTCACAGACAGCTGTTCACAGACTCGTTCAATAAGTTGTAATATTAGAAGTCCATTTATTTCAGGGATTTTGTCACTAAGTGAAACACGTTATGTATAATTTAATTACACACAGATGGACGTTTTCAAGCCTTTATTTTTGTTAACTATGATCATTTTCCAACTTGAAGCTAATTTGTTTTTACAAATATCCAACAAATCTTTGTGAAGAATTTTATTTGCTTCGTGCAAAATGAAATTGTTATGGCTGGGTGATTAATGCTGCCACATGATACGGCAAACCATTTTGTCCTTTAATCAAACAAGAAGCCTGGCCTATTGTAATAAAACGTCTTACCCTTAAGGGGTTTAATAACCACAAAGTAAATGCACAATTATGACCGTATGATTTGCCATATTTCCAACACTACATCAGACAAATAGAAAAATAACACATTTTTAATGGAAAAAGCTCTTCGATCCAGTTTTTACTAGAATGTAGCCTTTATGTATGTTTAATACCTGCTTAACGGTTTTTATTTTTAAAAGGTTTGTTTATTGTGAAAATTCAGTCTCATTGGAGTGCATAGTCTAGTTTTTTTAATATGACTGTTTAACAAATTTCCATAGCAACCTAATGGTGTCAGGAGCAAGAAAATATTTTTTGGTTGTAGATTTGAATGTTTTATTCCAGCAAATTTAAATGTGAAAAAGGATAATCACATTTTGTCACCTTCCTAAAATAATAGCTTAACTCATTTTTGCCAAGTGATTTTTTTATATGTATTCTTTAAATCATCGTCCTAAATTTGCCTGAATCACAAAAATCACTTCTGACTTCACCCTTTACTTTAGAAAGATAACAACACTGATATTGAAATAAACCTTGTTCAACTTATTAAAGAAAGTAACCCATTTTTTCCACTAAATCAAAGATGCTGCAGTCGCATTCATTCTCTGTGTCGTTTCTTTCTGCAGCACATTTAAAGACAAGAAAAGGTTTTCCAAGAAATTTTGAGATAAAGTGAAATGTTACAGAGCACAGTACGAAAAGAATAAAAGTTTAAATATAATGAATAAAAACATTAACTGACTCTCTTCATCTGGGTTTAGTTCATTGTTCTGTTGCTTTTGAAGCAGCAATCACAAAAAATAAGCTCAACCTAAAACACCCATCATGCCTCCTGTTTTTAATCATTTACAATAGAGGCTGTTTCAGTTCTGGGCCGTTTGTCAAAACTTCACAGTTGACTGATGTAAATCAACAAACGGTGTGTGTTGCATTGTGATAGCACTCTTCAACAACGAGATAAGGCTGCTCCTTTCTCAAGCACTTCACTGGAAAAACATTAGATTTCACAACATCAGCCAGGTTTCTCTGCGATCGATCCACATCTAGATCCCTGACTGGAGAGAACCGTAAGGAGCCTGTTTAACTGGATTATGTTCTTAACCACAGGAAAAATATCACACCCTATAAATTTTCTTCTAGAGAATTTTGTGGGGAAGCTCCTTGGAAGAACAGTTTCCACTGTAATACGAAAAACGGCTTAAACTAAAATACATCACTGGTTCTTTTAATGCAATTCTGTTGTGAAAAACCAATGCAGTTATTCATTAAAACTGAAAAACCTGCCAAAACCTGCATTTCATCACCTCCCTGAAATAATGGCATATGCTTTTTTTTCTTTTTGTCTTGTCAAAATGACTTTTGGCAAAAAAATAAAAAAGACTTTGGCTATTATTTTAGGAAGATGGCAATTTGTGATATGCATATTAAAACATTTATATATATCAGAAGCATTGTTCTTGGAATACTTTCTATGTAGAAGGAAATGCAGAGTTAATTCCAGTAATAGTTTGCTCTAGAGTTGCTTTTGAACAAAAATAATTGTTACACTGACCAACATATTTGATGTGCATTGATGATTTTGATGATGATATTCATCAAAGTCTGTTTACTAGTTTCTCAATTGGTGGTTGTTGTTTTTATGACTTTTTATTTGTGTGTTTTTATGATGTAAAACACTTTGAACTGTCAATTAATTAACATGCATCAATACACACAGTGGTAGCCATCTTGACATTACCAGAAGATGATATCTACAGTGTTCCTTATCTTTGCTCATGCAGCCAATCAGGGCCAAGGAAGATGAATGTCGCTCCTGGATTGGCTGCTTTCCCAACGCCAGCCAACAGTGTGTCAAATAGCATTATGTTCATGTAGTTTAACTTAAGTTGCATTTTCTTTTGATATTGTGTACATGCTCCGTGAATAAAACCGCAAATAAGTAAATGTTTCACGAATACTTTGGAATTATGTTCAATCCAAAGAAAGTATTAAAATAACACTATTCAGTCAAAAACACAGTTAGGGCAAAGAAAACATGAATAATTTAGATACATTTTGTTTCTAAAGACATGATGGACGTGTCCGATTGACGGCATCAGTGCAAAAATAACTAAAACCACCTGCTTTACTATTTTTCTTTTCGAAATGCTATGAAATTTACAGGACATTTTTATGAAGATGTGATTTCACAAAATCTTGTAGAAAAGTCAGTTGTTGACGTCGTCTTCGTACAAAAGCTGTTCCATCTGCAAGGGTTCAGTGACCGTGAGGCGGCTCCTCCTCTTACTTGGGAAGAAGCTTTTTAGCAACAGTAAACACATTTGACATGTGAAGACTTGCGAGACAAGTCATATTATCTGGAAGTTGATCATGATAATCTGGGTGACAGGTTTACCACCGAACGCCTGCTGTTTACACAGAACTGTCCCTGTCATAATATTCTACTGAAGCACATTGCTGCACACATGAGGACCGACCACTGTAACTGCTGACACGCTGCAGTCCTGACGGGGGTAAATGTTTACACGTGCTCCTTCGTGGTGGCAGAAATGGTGACGCTCTTTTAAACACTCCAGAAGTCAAGTATCGGACATTTCAGCGACAAAGCAGTTCAAAGCGTTTTACAAAGACATAATAAAGTAACCAAGAATGAAACAAGCAGTAAACATTACATTTTTGTCAAATGCCTTCACCAAGCAAACATATTTCAGATATATTGATATATGCTGAGGTTAAAATCAACTTCAACAGGTTTAGCTTTGATTTAAAGGAATCGGCGTTTTTGTAGTTTTCTGGAAGTTTGTTCCAGATTTGTGGTGCATAGATGCTGAATGCTGCTTCTCCATGTTTGGTTCTGGTTATGGTCTGCATCCACCAGAACCAGAAGACCTTTAATATATTTTGGTGCTAAACTGTTCTGTGATTCATAAACTAACCAAGGTATTTTAAAGTCTATTCTCTGAGCTTGAACTAATCTCAAAGATTTATACAACTTCCAGAAACGGGGTGTTTGTTCAGGTTTTCCTTTAAATCAATTAGTTTTGCGTCGCCTTTGATGACCAGCAGCTGGAACATTGATCAATCAGAAGCAACACCTAAACAAAACTGGGCTTTAGACTTGATTTAAAGAAACTCTGTTTCTGATATAGCAACATACGTAATTTGCATAAGACCAAAAAGATCTTGTATAAAAGTTAACTGTTGAAGTCATCTACATGAAAAAAAATTTAACTTCTGTTCCTACAAACTTCACCAGGAAGTTTAATGTCCGCCTGGTTTATCCAAAGTGACAGTAGTTTGGATGTGTTTGGGATCATCGTCTTGTTTCAACCAACTGTTTGAGGTGTTGTTCTTCCACCAACTCACCTTTTACACCACTGATAGCAAAACAGACCCTCAGCATGATGTAGCCACCACCATGCTTAAAGCTACTGATTGTACTTTATTTGGTTTAGAGGTTTCTGAGCAAAGCG